TTATAAACAACCATAGTAGGGGGGTATTTGTGTATTTTGCTTATGGGGGTTGAAAAAATGACATAAATGCCCCCAACAACTATATAACAACTAGTTTAGGGGGGCTTTTAGGGTAAAGTTATAAATAACTTTATAATGACCAAAATACCCCTCCCAACAACTAAATAACAGCTAGTTTTTTTTGGTATTTTGGACAATTGAATTATGTTCAATTCCTATAAATAGCCCTATCATCCACCATTCTCATCACACCAATTCACAATTCTCTTAATCTCTTCTCTCTCTCTCTCATACTCATACATTCTCAATTCTCTGCAATCTGAGTAATTCTGATTAGCTGATTGTCTGATTCTGCATTCTCCAATTCTCAAGTCCCAACTTCATTGAAGTTTCAACTTTCAACAAGAAGAAGGCTTGCTCAACCAGCTCAAGTATCTCAATTTGGGAGGCTTGGACATTGAAAGGCTTCAACCGTTGAAATCAAGTTGGGATTTTGAATTGACAATCTGGGTAAGTCGAATTAGATTAATTTTTATCTTTTTAGAATTAAAAAAAATGGTCAGCTCTTCTGAAAACCAACTCCCCAACATGTTCACCATTGATGATATTCAATCGCATCATAATAGTGTTAGCACTTATGCGATTGATATCGATGGAAGTGGAAAACTTTCACCCCCGATATTGATACTAAGGGAAAAAGGAGGGCCTCTAAGTTGAGTAGCCCTGTTTGGAAAACTTTCAAAGTAGAGTATTGAGAGGAAGGGGAAAAGGGCAGTTTGCCAAAAATGTAGGAAGGACTTTAGTTATTGTAGCAAGGGTGGTACGGGTCATTTGAGCAAACGTCCACTCACACATGAGAAGGAAAGGAAACAATTCAAACACAAATTGGGAGGGGAGTAGTTTTGGTATTTTTAAATATTCACAAGAAAAAATGAGACAACAATTAGCTAAGTATATTTTACATGCAGAACAACCATTTATATTAACTGAAGATCCAAAGCTTGAAAAATGGTTCCGTAATTCTGTAAACCTACAATATAAAAAAGTTTCTAGGAATACTATTAGGTCGGGTGCTTTAAAAATTTTTTATTCACATAAACAAAATTTAATTTTTTTGTTATCAAATCTTAATTCTAAAGTTGTAATTACTTCGGATGTTTGGACATCCAAATTTAGTATAAGTTATATTTGTGTTATCGACCATTTCATTGATGAAAATTGGCTTTTGAATAAAAGAATTTTAAGTTTTACTAGGCTTGAATGGCCACATACTGGCCGAGTTATTGCTGCAAGTATTTTAAATACTTTGCATGCTTATGGAATAGATATGCATATCACATCTTAAATTTATGTATTCAAGATGCCTTGAATATTATTTCTACTCATA